ATCTAACCTATACATAAACAGCGAGTCATGGATCGAACCTATACATAAACAGCGAATCATGGATCTAACCTATACATAAACAGCGAGTCATGGATCTAACCTATACATAAACAGCGAGTCATGGATCTAACCTATACATAAACATCGAGTCATGGATCTAACCTATACATAAACAGCGAGTCATGGATCTAACCTATACATAAACAGCGAGTCATGGATCTAACCTATACATAAACAGCGAGTCATGGATCTAACCTATACATAAACAGCAAGTCATGGATCTAACCTATACATAAACAGCGAGTCATGGATCTAACCTATACATAAACAGCGAGTCATGGATCTAACCTATACATAAACAGCGAGTCATGGATCTATAATGGGAAGACACGTTGAGCAACCAGCAGTATATGCGCAAGCACTAATTACCTAGACTTGGTTCAAGTCCGTCTCTCAAGGTGTTGAAAATAGCGATGCACACGAGCGGTCAAAGAAGGCGCGAAAATATGAGAGAAAAGTAAGGAGAGACGGACTTGGATACCCTGCAAGCGCGCCATTTTACCGTCGGATTTTTCCTACGGAGGCGTGGCTTGCGAGTTGAGGACAACAACAAATTTTCGCGCCAATTTTGGCAAGTAACATTCGAAATGCTGCAAAAGTCCCAAGTCCGTCTCTCCCTATACTTTTCTCCTGAGACGGACTTGAACCAAGTCTAGAACTAACCGTGTATGCGATATGCGCAAGATAATACGCAGACGCGCCTGACGCGGGCAAAAATTGACAAGTAAAGGCTGCATTCCAGTTACGCGTTTGTCATACCTGCGTACACGCACGTAAAAGTTGAATTCGCTTAAAATTTCATATAAGTGCAAATAACCTTAACAAATACACATTAAATCATACACAAAACTGAATGCTGTCCTTTTATAAATTAGTTATTTCATATAAGTAGGATGTAAAGCGAATTCAACTTTTACGTGCGTGTACGCACGTATGAAAAACGCGTAACTGGAATGCAGCCTTAACGTTTTCGTTCTTCGTTGTCTTGCAGATAGCGCTCAGGTTAAACTGACTAACCTAATTGTTATCTTTTATACACTGCATAGCTCTAACAGTTTTGAAGTTTTCTTCCTAAAGGTGCATGCCTTGTTTCAGGAGGAAACCTGAACTAAAGCCCCGCGAGTCAAACGAGGAGGAGAGTTGATCTTGAGAGTTCGAACTTACTATCGCTCGCGTTTGACAGCCAACTCTCATACAATCTTATCAACTTTGAACTGGTTCAAATTTTGATGAGAGCTTTGCTCGTTAGGCTGGTAATATCTAGCCAAATCTCGTCCACTCCCATGTTAAAGGTGGATTCCATTCAGTGGAAAAAGTCGCGCGATCGACTTTTTGCGACCACTTTCTTTTGAAATACAATCAATCAAGCGCAACGGATGAAGTTGACTGCTTGCATTTGAAAAGAAAGTGATCGCAAAAAGTCGACCGAGCGACTTTTTCCACTGAATGGAAATCCGCCTTCACTCTTGTTCTCGTTTGACCGGGGCACGAGTGTTGAGAAAACTCTCATGCAAACTCTCATCTTTGTTTGACCGCTTCGCTACCAGTTCTAACCTATAGTACTTCTCTCTGAAGGTCCAGTATGGGCTATCTCGTGTTTATCCAGTGTACTATACATGCAGGAAACCTAAATTAAACTGAATTTATTTGTGCTGAAACTGTTCTAAACTGTTCTCTCTGTAAGTCCACTAAAGGGCGATCCTAGTGTATTGATTCAGTTTAATACTTAGCGAGAACCGCTATCGGTTTTTATTCATGACAAACCCAATGCAATCACCCCATGTTTAATGAGTCGAGGTACAATCCCAGTGTGCCGTTTTAATGTTCACGTCTTCGATGTTGATGACATAATTTTATGCATTCAAGCTTTACTAAAAACAAGTACAAACACAACACAGGCTTTAAATGTTGACTTTTACTATAATTAAACTGTGATGGCAACAGAAATATTTCTTAATGAGATGTTTTTGTTTGAAAATACCGACGAAACTAAACTGTTGATCATCGGGATTGTGTGCTAATTGCAAACATGGATTTGAATTATCAGTCTGATTAAATTGTTCATTATCAGGGACATACAAAGATTTGGGGAGGCGATAATGGTCCAAATAAATTACCTGATTTTTTAAATTACGTTTTACGTTACCTAAAAGCAAAGCTTGAAATTTAGTGTGAAAATCTATATACGTTATGCATATGTACTCCTGTAGTGAATATGCATGCCATCTGGACTAACGCGATAAATTAGACTTGCTGTGAGGGATGATACTGCAAATGCATTCATCGCTTTCAGTCGGCAACTGAGCCGTTTTGTCCACTTATGCCTAAAACGCGGATTGAGTACTCTTGCCAAAATGGACTCTACAGCTCAGCGGTCCGAACTCTGTACCGGAATCACAGCGCGGCGCATTTTCGAATTTTGCTAAAAGTGCCTAATTTGGATAACTCGCGTAATTTTTACACTTTTTGTAAAGAGTATATGTAAAAAAATCAATCGTGCATGAAATCAGTCGTGCGTTAAATAGATTGTGCGTGAACGGGGCTTCGGTGGCGCCGTCGTCAGAGCATGCGCCTTTCACCTCTGTCTGCCGAAAGTCGTGGGTTTTCTCTGGCCTCCGGGTGATCCGGTTTCCTCCCACAGGGAAAGTTGACAGGGTGGGTCAGGATATTAAACACAGTTAAGAGAGTAATATCACAATTGTCGCAAGGATAAAATAGTCTAGGCTCGGAGGGTGGTTGGGTAAGCGTAATACATATATTTAAAATACTCATTAAAAATTCATTATAAACCTTGTAGCAAATCATGTCAGCCATAACATGTCACGTGCAGAGACTCTATATCTGATAAAAGTCATCTTCATTAGTATTCTTTATATAATTGTTCATCCTAATTACTGTAATTAGTATGATTATATAATTGTTCATCCCAATTAGTATTCTTTTGTTGTCGTATTTTAAGCTATCCAAAACACTCGAACTTGCGTTTTATCATATCTAAAACGCTCGGCTGCGCCTCGCGTTTTAAATCTGATAAAACACTCCTTCTCGTGTTTTAAATACTACATACATAACATACAAAACTTTATTTAAACCACGCTAGCCTCAACAGCCGTTGGAAGGCTGGATTCCATGAGGGGCGTGAAATTACCTATTTACAATAAATTAACTATTTACAAGAAATACAAGAATATAACAAAAAAAAAATTATTTTAGCTGCACGATTACACACTAGTAAATTTCAACCCATTCTTTGTTTTAATATCGATTTGAAAGAACGTAAGGATTCAGCAATTTTTGCCTCATGGGGAAGATTATTCCAATTCAAGGCACCATTATAACCGAAGCACCTCTTGCCGAATTCTTTTTTCGGCATAGATGGTGCTAAATCAGTATCCCTATTTCTAAGATTGTATGTATTGTGTCTTTCATTATAAAATTGAAATGCTTCTTTAAGACTGGGTGCGATGTGGCCATTCAGAATTTTATAGATGAAAATAGATTTAAGATAATTTCGTCTTTCTTCGAGAGTAAAGTGCATTTGATCCAATCGACATGTAAATTTACGCTATAGAAATGTTAATCGTAGTCGTACGGCAGAAAGTCCAAGTTTTATGAGTCGCGCGTTGGACATGTACATCTGCTTCCAGGGTTTTTCTCCGGCTACACCGCTTTTCCACCTCATCAGAAACTAACCTGTAGTCGAGTACGTGTATACCACGTTATCCCCGGGTTAAAGTGCCCCTAATTATAACCCCCAAAATGTTTTTGGCGATATCAAATTTTGGCATGATTTCTCGTATATCTGTGGAAAAAGTTTTAAATTTAGGCAAATCGTCCTTCGAGCGCTCTTCGTATGCGTGAAAAGACTGGGACTGGCCTTCAAGTTTGGCTTCAAATTTCCAGTTGCAGGTAGCGTTCCAGTTATATTCAGTTCAATGGTCTAGCCCGTTTTCTGACGTCATGAAGGGTACGGAAGTGGTCCATCAAAAAGTGCCATTTTAAGTATTTTACCAACTTTAAACTGTCACAAAATGCCGGCGGAGGATTTGCCGAAATTCATTTTTGTTTTCGCAGAAACACTAGAAATCATGCCAAGATATCGATAAGAAAGCATTTTGGGGTGTAAGGCTACTTTCCCACTAATCCGTTTTCGAATCCCCTCGTTTTTGATATTTCGAAAACGCATAATGTGTAATCGTTATTCAAAAACTCATTAATAATTCATGAAGCAATTATCCAATCTTGAGTAAGAAATTAGTCACGTGCATACGTCTTTATACCAGCTAAAGAACACTTTAACAAAAGACCATTGTTATGCAAACTGTATAAAGATTTTTATATAAAGATTTTTATATAAAGATTTTTATATAAAGATTTTTATATAAAGATTTGACTTATTATGCAAACGTTTTTGAAGCCATTTAAAAAACTCGCAGGTCGTGTTTTATTAGGTCTAAAGCCACTCGCGCTGCGGCTTTAAACCTAATAAAACACTCCTGCTTGTTTTTTAAATAGTACTTAAATAACTGTAATTATACGGCCATATATCATACGGGTGTTTATTTGTGGGCAAGGGTTTAACGTAACTTGGGTTTAAACATTAGAGGGTGGGAGTCGCTACGCCCGGCAATAAGGGTGTGTCAGAAAAGAACGTAGAGATCCTGGGAAAACTAAAAAAGTTTGAGAGTCCTCAGAGGTAGCGTCGAAGACACCATCCTCGTCTCAGGGACTTCCAGGTTTTGTTCTTAGTCAACATGATTTAAATGTATTTTCGCCAAACAAATTATTGAATATCTGCCCTACAAAATTGCTGTACACGCCCCTGTTTGTGAGTACCTAACCCTACCTCTTATCCGGACTCTGAACCTCCCTAACCGGCACATGCCAAGGCCAGGCCATTATGTTATCGGGAGAATAGTAGTATTATTCGTATTCTCTAGGCTCGTTATGCGCCATTCAACCATGTGTTAACAACGGGACTTGCCACGAGAATGGTGAAGAGATCACGTGTACATGCGCCAACGGCTTTACTGGCAAGCGGTGTGAGGTAAAGGTTAAAGGTAAGACCGCTGAACACTGATCTGCAATGTAGATCCCCGTTCAAACTAGAGACCTGGGGCCGGTTGTATAAAAAAGTGATTAAAGTTAACTATAGTTAAGTGCGAACGTCATCCAATAAGAAGCGCCTATTTGAGAGTTAATCACTATTTAACTACAAAATAGTGATTAAAAAAGTGATTAAGAGTTTTATACAACCGGCCCCTGGAGGCGTGTAGTTTAAACAGACATAAAGCCAAGCATTCGAGGTTGTCTGAACTCGGCTATATACAGCCATTTCAATTAAGGTTGTCCCCGAGCAAAGCGGAAAAGTCGAATACGAGCGCGAAAGGCTGCTGGGAATCGCTAAAAAATTAATGAATTTATTAGCGATTCCCAGCAGCCATTCGACATTTCCGCTTTGCTCGGGGACAACCTTAATTGAAATAGCTGTATGTATGTATGCAAAAACCTTTTTTAAAGACGCTATCTTCGTCAACGGTTTCCACAAGGGGCGTCAAAGTATTTTAAAAATTACAAGCAAAAATTTAAAAAGTTAGGCAAGACCGCATCACCGGATTTTATGTTTGTGACTGCGCAAGTTTCAAAAAAGAAAGTTCTTGGAGTAATAATTGTATAAGAATCTGAAATGGGATAGGCATAATGGAGAACAGTGCAAAATTATTTCTGGAAATATTGCCTTGCTTGGGAATGCAAAACAGTATGGAACCCATGAGACCTTCATTACAATATACAATGCACTGCATGGCGTTGCCACGCCTTTGCTATTGTTCTACCAAATTGTTCTCCAAAGTTTCGTTGCGAAATGTTGTAAAATGCGGATAATTTTCAGTGCAGTTTAAAATGCGGATAATTTTCAGTCATTTTAGATTACAAACAGGAAATTGGCAGCCCCAAAGGGTATTGCAGCGCGCATGGGCTGTTCTAGATCAAAATTTAGTCTATTACGCAAGTGGTCAATTGTTGAGGGTTTTTTTTAGATGGGAATTTCAAGTGTGAATTTTATACATTTCTTAGATCTAACCAGGAGCAGTTGCAAAAAATGCAACTATACACCCTCTGACAGGAATCAAACCTGCGACGCTGTTGTCTTTTTAGTCATTTTTTTCTCCCTCCTACGATAGCCGGCAGCAAAAATTGTTTTTGTCAATTTTCCCGCGTCCATTCTCGTTTCCTGGGATGCGGGCCCCGATTGCGAATTATGAGTAAGGTCTACGTCGAGCAGACACTTCTCAGATACAGTTAAGTCTCGTAACCGTAACTTAGCTTTATTTTATTCTTTAAGATAATACGACCAACGAGTACGTTTACTCTGACGAAGCCAAGCGTATCAAACTGCCAGGATTTTTAAAAAGAGTTCAGGATGCCTACTACGAATACAATCGTAACGCGTTGCCATGGGCACCGCATGAAGAAGATGACGAATTTGTGGAGCTGCTGAAAAACAGGTATGATGGAATTTGGTATTTGATGGAAAAATATCGAAACGTTTTACAAACCAACGCAACACGAAGCTAAAATCGTGCATTGACCGTAGTGCACTAATAGCACCTCATTTCACCTAGTGTCCTTATAGCACCTCGTTTCGACTATTGTTGTGAAGTTTGGGACACTATCGGCATTGGACTTTCTGACCGCTTGCAAAGATTACAAAACAGGGCTGCCAAAATTATTAAACTAATTAAACATTCAGTACGTTTGATCCGTAAAAAATTTTGTGTCGTTGGTTTTCTCTTTTTCGGCCGCATACCAATGGTTCGTCTCACTTTTTTCTTCATTTTGAAGATCCGGGCTTTACTTTATTTTGAAGGTTTTAATCCTAGCGTACGGACCTACTGCCAGGCGACAGGAGGAATGTAGCGTATTATAAATATCAGCTTTACTTGGAGTCGGAAAGTACTGCGAAATTGCGGTGCCCAAAGTTTGGCACCGCATTATATTCTGCCTGTGAGTTTGTTTGTTAGTTTGTTTGCATCAATACGTTTCCTTAATCGCCTACCAAAAATTCCTTGCACGTGCTCGGAATTTATTAATCGTGTACAGTCATGATGATCGACAGTTTGCTCAGCTTCATCTCTGGTTTTATGCATCAAACAAGGACAAAAATACCACTGTTCGAATCAGCGTGAAAAGTTGTGTTTACGGATGGAAAGTTGATTTCAAAATTGACTTCTATTCTAGTTATTTGTCGCCTTTGAAAGACAAAAGCCGCTCAAAATAATCCTTCACGTTTTCCGAATTCCTTTTTTCGAGGAAAGTTTTCTTTCGAATTACAACTCGAACTCTCACGATTGACTTTTTGCTGCGTCTTATCTCTGGTTTTATGCGCCCAATAAGGACAAAAATACCACCGTTCGATTCAGTGTAAGAAATTATACTCACAAATGTCAAATGTATTACTAAACTACAGTATTCTAGCGATTTATGGCCTTTGAAAGACAAGCGAAATTGCATTGTTCACAAATCGCTCAAAATTATTAAACTACAGTCGAACCCCTATTAAGCGGACACCTTCGGGACCTCGCCTAAGTGTCCGCCTAAAAGGGGTGTCCCCTTAAAAGGGGTATGTAGAAAAACACAGCAGGAGGTAAAGGTGTGTAATTAGGTGTGTAATTTGAGTATCATCATGGCTGGCGGCTCACAGTCGTCCGTCCTCATTCCTCAATAATCTTGGCTCTGATGTCTTCGCGCCAAGTTGATGTGTCACTGTCAATGTGCCATGTAAATTGATCTCAATTGTTATTTACTGTCGAATATTGAATACATTTTATCAGACAATCTGTCATCTGTTCGCTTAAGAGAGGTTGATTTGCCCATTGGGACCTCCAGAAAGGTGTCCGCGTCCGTTAAAGAGGGGTGTCCGCTTAATAGGGGTTATGATAATAGTTTTTTTATTAAAAAAATCAAATGGGACCTGAGATATGTGTCCGCTTAAAAGAGGTGTCCGCTTAAGAGAGGTGTCCGTTTATATGGGTTCGACTGTGATTAAAAATGCAATACATTTGAGACCTTGATAATTTTCGTATTGTTGGTTTTCTCTTTTTCGTCCGTTTACCAGTCGATTTGTCTCACTTTTCCCTTTATTTTGTTTGTAGTTTCAGCCCAAAATATTATATTTTGAAGGTTTTAATGTGCAGTTTTATAAATAAGCGAAATTGTATTGTTTACAAATCGCTCAAAATTATTAAACTAATTAAAAATGCAGTCCGTTTAATCCTTGATAACGTCGGAATTGTTGGTTTTCTCGTTTTCGGCCGTATGCCAGTGGATTCGTCTCACTTTTCTCCTCATTTTGATAGTATTTTGAGCCCAAAATATTTTATTTTGAAGGCTTTAAAACGCAGTTTTGATCCTAACGCACGGACCAACTGGCGGCCGACAGGAGAATGTGTAGCGTGCTAAATATAACTTTACTTGTACATGCAGGCGGAAACGCCAAAAGTTTTATTTGTAGGCGGGCACCGCATTTTAGTACTGTGTGTGGTTCATAACTGAAATCCCGTTATTCTAACTATAACTTCATTTGCCCTAAGTATAAACGCGTGAATGAGGGCGGCAGCACTTTTAGTGCTGTGCAACTGTGCGACAGTTTATCTTTAGAGTTAAGAAAGAAATTATTAATGCTTTAAAGAAATCTCTTTTTAAACTGCTCTTGAATGAACAGCCGTCCTTATATCATTTCAATCCATAGTTTATTTAGTTTTTATTGTATAACTATATTCTAGTTTAGTGTAGATTTAATTTTCAGATGTCTAAACAGCAATTTTAATAATTGAGGGCCACAAGTTTATCAGTGTTGTACACTATTTGCCCCCCCCCCCCCCC